TGAATTCCCCACACAATAGTCATTAGCACTATTTGCAGGGGTCATGTCTGAATTCCCTACACAATTGTCACTAGCACTATTTGTAGGGATCATGTGTCCACCTGTGTATAGTCTGATGTATGTACGTCACCTCGTGCACACATTTGCGTATATGTAGTATATTGTAGACTTTAGCTATGTCTGTCTGAACTAGCCAAGTGTTTATAATAGGTGTCCATCCATTTCTTCTTTGGTTTGAGACAGTGTAATCATCTGTGGTTTATTCTGACATGTGCTGGGTGATGTGTCCACGTATATTCATGGGCCTATGGCATATCATTTTGGATCCACCGAGCTTCCTACTCACCTCTAAAAATACCACGAGTGTCAGTGCACAAAGACCTGACGATGCGACATGTACGCATGGATTATACAAATAGTCCCGAGAGTACATCTGTGTTGAGAACAAATAGGCGGGCAATGAATGAATGTTAGTTGTATTATGTGTTTGTACCTGTAAACACTAGACGCGCATTAATTCTTCAGTTAGGGCTGGTTACTTTTACTGGTATGTTGCAATTGGTTACGTCATTTAAGCTACTAGTTTAGAAACAACATCTCTCGCAACGACTAACCTGTAGTTGTCGTATACTTTTTCTTCAAGTGCACTTGCACAGCCACATATCTTTCGTTCACGAACACACGCACAGATACTAACACGACCAAACACCCACATACAAGCCATATCACACGCACAACATTGCAAGAAATCAATTAGTTAACTATGTTTATTGACCCAACCACGCCACACCTTCTTGAACAGGAACCCCAGATTTAACGCATCACGGGAACGGTAGGGCCAACTCAATAGCAGAATCATCCTCAACACCACCCACACACAGCGCGCCAGCGGGATCAACCAACTCGCGTGGGTCAAACAACGTATACGAGGCAATGGGGAGTACCGAACAGAGCAAGAATGACGGTACTGCTACGGTAGTTGGTGAAGGAGGACAGTACGGGACGAAAGAGGGAGACAAAGATAGTCCCGTTGTCATGGCAACACGCATGTACTCGCATCACGGCAGCAGTATATACCAGAACACTCGACATCAGGAGATATCCCATACCCAGCACCACCCACACTCCACCACGCATAACAATAGAAGGCCTAAATCTGACAACCACAGCGGCAAGACACAATCCCGTGTCAAATCGCTCGGAGGTATGCCTCGTACATCGTGAACTGGTGTGCCCATTCTGAACATGAATTTATGTTTGAACAGGAACTGATATGATATGAGTGAGTGGATATGATTTACAAATTTATGCTTGTATATGTATGTGTGTATTTTGATCTCTCTGACACACTGACTCCATCTGCAGGCAAGTATATAAGTGATTATTGCAACTCGTATGTGTACATATCAGTATTATATATTTTGTACGAATATTCATATATATATATATATATTATCATATATATTTGACTAAAAGAAATTGTTTGCTATATGTGACCATAGCTGTCCAAATATGTATGTATGCACGAGAATTTTAAATTACTCTCACCTATAAGCATTAATATGTGTATAACACAAACATGTATTATTATATACCAGCAAACACTTACACTATTTAGTATTGCAAAAAATGTGACCTTTAAAAAGACATATTTATTCAAGTATGTATAGGAGTATATTATATTATTTTTGGATGTATTTACGTAAACATGCATGATATACAGGAATCCACGGAGGCAAATAATTAAGTCTGTGCGCATATGTGACATACAAAAAGATATATATAATTAAGTAAAGGAGTAAATTATATTATTTTTGGATATATTTACGTAAACATGTATATATACAAGAATACACGGAGGTAAATAATTAAGTCTGTGCGCATGCGTAACTATATAAACGCGACCTATCATATACATATCATTCAGTGGTAGTGAACAGTTGTTAGTTTCTGTCAAAACTCCAGTATGTACTTGGAGCATGTGGCGCAATAGTAGGGTTCGTGGTATGGTATACATATTATACGTAGGGAATCTCATATACTCACAACACATGCAGTGTTATTACATAGCTTGTTCTTCAAAGTTACATGCATAATATCAGCACCTACTGTACTCTGCGATAAACATGAGCTCACCTCTCACCATGCCCATCTTACCCACAATTCTACAGACAAAAGTCACAGTGAACTTACGCTCCGAGTGGACCCGCAAATGAAACAAAGACCTCGTGCCTGCAGCAGCAGCTCAGAACACATAGTATGTATGATATAGCTATGTTGTGCAAGTCTTATGCACACTTTGTGCCTCAATCAATATACGTTGTAGGCTGTTTGCTGTCTCCCTTGTATGGATGGAGGGAGGTATGTTCTTTGATCCTGTCCCGCTATTGGCGCTTGAGTATATAGCGGGCACCGTATCTGTGGCATGCAGTATGGCTGGTTGTGTGCGCTACCCCTCGTTCACGTTCGCAAAACACGTCTATACTCTCGCAGTCCTGCACGTGCGTGGTTATAGCATATTACCTGGCGAATCAAAGAGTGATGAGATCTCCTTTAGTTGCCATGGTAACGTCTATCAGTACACGCCATCCGTGTTCCGCATTGCTCGCGAGACCGCAAACTCCCTCCAGCGCTTAACCCTTAACCCTACGACCACGACCTACGCTTCATCTGCAACCAAGGACGGCACCCTGAGCGACGATGGGGGTAGGGTTGCCTCGAGTTTTGCAGCGAGTGAGTGGCTACCAGGAGACCGAGGCTCGCACACCGAACAAGACATGTCACAGAAAACGATGCCCATGCGGTCGCACTCGTCGCTCAACGTGCGCGATGTGACCAAGAACGGTCATGGTAGGAGGGACACAGGGGCCAATGGTGTGTGGGGGGAGTCAATGGTGTGTGGGGGGGGTTGGGTTGGGTTGGGTTGTGCATGGCTGTTTGCGGGTACACATCTTACAGGCGATCGTAGGGTTGTATTTATGCTACGTGTCCGTTGGGATTTTGTGTAAATGTTCTGGCACGGCTTGGATGCACTCCGTCTCAGTATGCGCGATGGGGAGAACGACAGTCATAGCAGACGGGGCTCGGGGGCTGGCAGTGTGGGTGTGGGGGTGTGGTACGGTTGTTTGTAGATCTTATGGAGGCGAGCGAAAGCTTAAGTCCAAAAATAACTACCAATCGGTTTGCGCCCGTGCCTGTGCAACCACTAGTTATGTACCTATACTCACGCCCATGTGCACTTACTATACTCTCACGCCCATGTGCACTTTCTGTACTTGACCAGATGAACAAAATCAGCGTAGGGTGTCGGGCAAGGCAGCAGAGGTGAAGATAACAGTCTACGAGAACCAACGTAGTGGGCTGTTTGGAGCGTACAGCACCATGTGGCTGGTGCCTGGCATGGACAAGCGAGGGCAATGGTCGCTTAAGGACGGCACACAGTCAATAGCCCTGGACCAGCAGAAACTCTCTCCAGGTATATATATATATATATATGTACATATATACATAGATATATATATATATATATATATATATATATATATGTATATATATGTTTATATATAGATATATATATATAATATATATTTATATATATATGTATATATAGATATATATATATGTATGTATGTACGTATGTATGGATGTATGTATGTATGTATACATGTATATATAAATATATATACATATATATATATATATATATGTATGTATGTGTGTATGTATGTATGTATGTATGTATGTATGTATGTATATATATATATATATATATATGCGTATAGTTGAGTTAATTGTCATGTAGCGACCTTTTCGTACAGTTTATAGCATCACGTGTGGACGACATGTTTTTGGTCAGAGGGGTCCTCCACTCTTCAAAGCGGCTCATGTTATTTGGTCAACAAGCGATCAAGACTTTGTATATTAGTTTGTTTACAAGTATTCGGAAAAGTTTCAATGAGCTGTTATACAACTATGTAGGTGGACATATCACTTTAATTTCCGGTTTTTCATTGTACGCATGTCATGTATGCTTCTTATTTCTGTTTCCATATGTGGCTGTTTGTACTGATGTCTGAGCGTCTATTTGTTTGCTTTGTTTGCAGTTCAGGTTTGTGTGATTCTCTGTGGAATATTTCAGCGTCATGTAATGGTCTTTCTGTAATATTGTAATATTGTACAAGTATTGGAACAAATCGATGTATGTAGCTGGTATTTACTGATGTATGTTTTCATGCTCGTCGCATCTTTGCATGTAATATCGTACAAATACACATGTGTATACATGAAAGTAGGTTTTCATACTTAAGTACTCGGTGTATGCACACATGTACAAGACAAACTTGTTTTAACAACAAACATTCTCACACACTCATATACTCACAGTCGCTTGTCTATGATAGTACATACCCTCCACCCATGCTCTTCCACTGCTTAGTGGTCTCATACTATCCTCTTGATGCCATCCGTAGGTTGGGAATGGACTGGTGACTGGACATACAATAAGAACCCTGAGAAGTACGATAGCGAGGGCTGGCAATACGCCTTCAGCTTCTGGACGAGCACATGGTTCAATCGACCCAAGGTTTGTGCTTCTCCCCTAGTAAGATCTGTTCGTGTTGTGTTTCGGTGCAATTGCTTCATCGCAGGAGATCCGGTCTTATCGGGCGACAATGTTTATCACTTTATTGCTAGAAATCTAGGGGTTAGGGTTTACAAGCTTGCAATATTAGAATGCTGTTGGAGAAGATGCTACACTAGCCCATGTTATGTCGAATCACACACACACAGCACACCGTCAATGTATATGTGCGCTCCTGTTCAGGCCTGTAATAGTCACGAGGTGTGTTCATGGTCCGTTCTGATCGACTTAAAGTGTGTGAGAGCACTGGGACATTGAGGCTGTAGGGCTTTGCACCAGGACTGTGTTGCACCAGGACTGTATTGCACCAGGACTGTATTACACTAGGGCTGTATTGCACTAGGACTGTATTGCATCAGGACTGTATTACACTAGGACTGTATTGCACTAGGACTGTATTGCACCAGGACTGTATTGCACTAGGACTGTATTGCACCAGGACTGTATTACACTAGGACTGTATTGCACC